GGCCCAAACATCTTTCTTAGAATTTTCCTTTCAAAGACTAAAAGTCCATGTTTAATGGCTTATTTAAATGTCCAGGTTACCCTCTACCTCTTTTAATTTCTTGAGATTGAACCTCTCCGTATGAACTCTCTCCTTTGTTTGTTTGCTCACTGCCAGTCGTTCCCTAACCTTTTCCACCACCAGGTAGTAGTCAGTATCGCAATCTGCTGCCCTGATTGATCGGACATCAAGTATACTTGAATGTCATTCCTATCTAACAAAATTACTTGATTTTATTGTGTATCTTCCCATCAGGGGATGCCCAAGTAAATTTATGGATGTTATGATGTGGGAACACTGTACTTTTGACAGTAAGACTTTTTGATGATGGGGCAAAATTTACTACTCTAACTCCATTAGCATTACTAATTTCATGCAAACTCTCATTCCCAGTCGTTGGTTTGAAAATGTCTTCCCTCCCTACTTTGGCATTGAAATCTCCTAACAAAATTTTCATAGGGTTCTTCAGGAAGTTGTCAAATACATGTTCTAGTTCTTCATAGAACATGTCCTTTATGTCATCAATTTTATCTTCTGTTGGGGCGTGAACATTCATAATGATGATATCACACCAGCGATATTTTAGTATTATTTAGTATTAGTATTTAGTATTATATGTATGTGATATCCTATCACTAATTCTTAACTGCTGTTAATATTCTCTTATGTACGAAGAAACCTGTACCTAATTCATGATTTTCATTCCCTTTTCCATAGAAAAATATATATTCGCCTGCTGGTTTGTTGCCACCTCCATCCCATCTGACCTCCTGTACTCCCGCTAATTCTAACTTATATTTTAAGATTTCTTCTGCCACTGCCCTGAGCGAACCTGCCCTATACAAACTTTTGATGTTCCACGTACCGAATCTTATGTCCATTTTCTTTAGCTTAGGTCGTTTATCCAAGGAATCTGTCTAGGTCCAAGGCTTTGTGTTCATTTTCGTAACATTATTATTTTTTACGGTGAGGAGTTGCTAGCCCCATGCCCAAACTCTAAGCTGGAGGGCCACCCCTTGTCGGCTGTCTGCGACTGCTTATTCAATATATTCGCAGTTTCCCTCCATATATGGAGGCCATCTCCATCTGCAACCTGAGAANTGTTTCAGCAATGTTTTTGACAGCTATGTTAACATTGGCAGACTTGCATAGCGGCCAACGGAAACTACTTTGAGGGCCGATGTGCATCTGTGCAAGTGTATGTGAATACCTTGCAATATGATGTGATAAAATCACATTCCACGAACTTAATGACTCTACCACGTGTATATATATATATATATATACACACACACACACACACGAGTATTGTCACGTGTTGGTGTATATAACGCGACAAATAACTTCACGCCTTACTGGATGTAGCGAATTTATTTCACATTCGCTCTTACAATCACACAAAATACAGATCCTCAATTACTACCATTGGCAATATCACAAATACTAGACTGCAAATGCCAGAATACAACTGACTGGTTGCTGGCTAGATTGAGAACTCTGTTGATCACACACTGGCTCGTAGGCTTGCTCGGAACTGGCTGTGAATAGCCTTTGCTGCTCCTTATGTAACCTCGTTCCGGACAACACAGAAAACGGCCACGTAATAGGCACCACTGTTGGCTGGCCCCATGTTGCTAGCAACGCTGTCGGGAGTTGTTTACTGCTGCCTAGCAACTTTGGTATCCCTTGGCGACGTCACCACTGGCCGGGTAGGCGAAGGAGTGTTGACTCGCCTGTTACCTTAGCAACGACAGCGATCCGATAGCGTTACGTCACTGCTGGCGGGGGGAGGGGTGTCCTGCATAGCGCAACACGTCGCAATATATATATATACACACTTGTATGTAACAACGTTCTGTGGTAGATAGATGGGTTCAATCTGATCATATTCTGTAAATACATGCATGTCTGGAAATGCTTCTTTTTGACACTAAGGGCCACAAAATTTTCTGAGAGGTTGCAGAAGTTTTAGGGGATGTAATCATTGTTTAACATCATAAACGTTGTCAAAATGGCAGCTGCCAGCTTCATTGCATGTTCTGCACTGCCTGGCTATGATATGCTGAACTCTTTGAAAAATTCCCAGCATTTCCTAGATGGTTCCAGCTGCTACTGCAGTTCTTGCAACAAGATCATGTTATGTCTCCACTAGAGTCTCATACACCAGGCTTTGCATGTACCCCCAGTGAAAGAATTCCATTGGAGTCAAGTTAAGGGAGCGAGGGGGCAAGCCTGTTGGGCCTCCACATCCAATCCATCTGATGCCAAAAGTTTCATCCAAATATGCATGAATGACATCAGTGCAGTGTGCTGGTGTGCCATCAAGCTGGACTTCTAAAGACACCATTTCCAGCAGCCTGGTTAAGGTCTCTTGGAGAAATGTTAGTTAAATATCACCAGTAAGCCATAGAGGTAAGAGCTAAGGTCTTCCTTCACAGTTCAGAGGCCCCAGCGTGTAAGCAAAGCATTTCCAGACATGCCTGTATTAACAAAACATGATCAGATTCGACACCTCTATCTACCACAGAGCTCTGTATCATATATTTATTTACATCCTGTATATGATTCATTACATCTGCTTTGTGAAGGGGTGAGATACTCTTAAGGGACAATGTTCTTTCGTTATTTGGAAAATTACCTGCTTTGCCATATGTTGAAACATTTTGAACATTCATTGTACCACACCACGCCTTCAGGTGTGTTTAATCCTTTCACTGATGAAGCCCTCAGAGACAAATTTTTCTGCCATATAAATGTTAATATTTTCAGTTCAGGTTTACATGAATAACTCTTAGGGTTCTTCTGGTTCTTATGCCAAAAGTTTTCAACTTCCTTTTTAAATTTGGTTTGGGGCATCAAGTGTGAAACTGCACGTACCTGTAGTGTATGTGGATTTAGAATTAGAGAGACTGGAAATTGATACATTTGTGGTTGACAAATATAAAAAAATACACTTGGTGGTATAGGATTTGAGGTTTTTACTGTTGTGAAAATTCTTCTAGGTTATGATGCTGTTTTGTCTCATAGGTGGTTTATCAGTATTTTGGAGGGACATACAACATTTGTCTCCCACTGTAAAGATTGAGGAAGACTATTCATCTGAAATGTTTGCATCCTCCTACCACACTACATGGTTAATAACCCAGAAGACCACATTACAGGGGGGTCCAAAAAAATGTATTCACTCTTTGATAGTCAATATCTTTGGAACAAAATGACATGTAGTTACAATTCTTGCGTGGTAGTGTAGTGTAATGTTTTCTCAATAGATGGCGAAGGTCACATGTGTCACGTGAGTGTCATGCCGCACGCGCGCTGTGAGCAGAAGACAGCAGCAACAATGGCTGAAATGTTGTTCTTTGAGCAACGCAAGGCTGTAATGAAGTGGTACTGGAAGTACGAAAACATTACAGAGGTTGATGACAATGGCATAATGAGTTTGGAACTCAGCCACCAACATGTCGAACATTTGCCCATATTCCAGATAAATTTGAAGCTGACGGTACTGTTCATGATGTGCATAAGGAAAGATCGGGGTGACCATGGATAGTAACAAGTCCAGCTTCCGGTGCTGTGGTGTTGCAACACTTTACATGATCACCGCAAAATTCTGTGAATCAGTGTGCACGTGAAAGTGGGTAAGCCAATCAAGTGTACGGCAAATTATGAAGGCTGCAAAGTGGAAAGTGTACATTCCAAGACTGCTGCACGCTATGAACAAGGACGACTGGATCGAAGGCTTGAATGCTGCGAGTGGTTTGAAGGCATGGTTTGCAAGGATGAGGAACCTTGAAGGATGAAGTTTATTGACAAAAGCCAGCTGCACTGAACGTGCTACGAGAAACCATCGAAGCATCATGTGCAGCCATCACACTAGAAACACTGACAGCCGTAGTTCACTCAGCAGTTTGGCAGCATCGACGCTGTTTAGCCGCTGATGATGATGACCACTTTGAGCACATACGACTCTCTCTCTCCATGCAAGAATTGTAACTACATGTCATTTTGTTCCAAAGATATTGACTATCAAAAAGAGTACATTTTTTTGACCCCTCTGTATGAATAGCTGGAGTTGGTAGTGGAAAGGTTAAGTTTTTACACTCCCATAATTAATTTGTAAACATTTATTACTACTGCCTGCTACTACCAATGCACCCTCCCCTGCCCTTCCTCCTCCTTCATAAACATCTTCATGATATTTTCAGTCGTCTCTGGTCATTGTACTCCACAGCTGTTAATTGTTGCAGTCCACTCCCAGAAATGGCTTTACTCCATTACTTTTAGTGACTGTTTTTTGAGTTCCCAGTTCCGTATTAACGTCGTGTGGCTTAGTTTTCTTTAGCCGTGTATTACAGTTTTTTCTGTATGTCTCTACCACTACAACTTTTTTTTTTCCTGTAAACTGTAGTGTGGATATATAAAATGTGTTTCTGTTAATGTAATGTGCTTAATGGAATGGTCTTAATCAGTACAATTCTGTCTTTGAATTTTGCAGAAAGACTGTCTATACAGACATTTTTCATGGCCTTCTTCAGTCCCTGCACACAAATATAGGACACACCATTTTCAACACCCTGTTCAAAGTAATTTTGTGTCAGTCAATGTTATGTATCGTCTTCAGTTGATAATGACATATTACTAAGTTCACCCACCTTGCATGGTATTCAAATTTGGTTTTGTCCATTTTGTTTCTTAAGCACTTCTGTGTTAGGGAATGATATTTTTTGGCAAAGAAATATTATAATATTTCTTTTCCAAAAAATATCATTCCCTAACATTCCATTAATAATTATTAATGGAGGAAAGATATTACATATTTTTCAGATATACAGCATACTTCCTTTTGTGAAGTGTCACTGTGTAGTAATATAGGTAAGGTGGTGTCATACCACTATTTCTGTATAATTTTGTATGTCTTAATGTACTGGCTTCTAGTATTAATGTGCTATTATATTTTTTAGGTGGACTCTGAATGTGGTGACCAGATAACGTGCAGTTATCCTAATATTGACGTCCATTCTTGAATCTTTGGAGTCGTAATGTATGAAATGTAATGCTGGGTGTGTGAGACTGTGATCTTGGATTACAAATGAGTGGCTATGGTTATAATAATAGGAGGAGAAGAGGAAGAGATTTTGGGTCACAAGGCGGTGGAGGTAGCCAGAATTCAAGTTACTGGAACAACAGTCACTATAACAAGTATCAGAATTACAACCAGTTTCAGTTCTGTAAATTAGCATTTCCTAAACAGTGGAGTTCTGCTTCTTGGAGTAATCAAAATCAATACAGTGGCACACATGGAAGAGAATCAGTTTCTCATAATCTCTTTCCTCCACGACAGCCAATCAATCCTAGTCCAGTTCATTCTAAAGCTACTGGACATTCATCATCGGTTAAAGGACAGACTTTGCAGGCAAAATCCAGAAACTGGAACAAAATCAAGAAACGACATTCTTCATCATCAACAAGAAGTTCATCTTTTCCGCAGCAGAAGGTAGGAAATCCACCTCCAGGATCTGAGGAGGCTCGAAAGAAAAGTCTTGCCCAAGCCACTGACAAAATAAAGAGCTGTTTACTTTCATTCCAAAATGAGAAATCCGAGGTCTTAGAAAATCTTCTGTCCAATGAAGAAGAAGAAAGAATGGAAGAACCTACAAAAGCCATTGCTGTTAGGCTAGAAAAACCAGGATATGCCGACTTACGATTAACACCAAATGATTTAAAAGTAATTGGAATGGTGAACACAGCTGGAAATGGTGGCTCATTAGAACTGGAAGAAGCTGGAAGTTCTGCAGTTGAAACTGTTTCCACAAATGAATTTTTAGATTCATCAGGTAGAGCAGAAATAGTAGTCCAGAATTCAAATTCTTCTGGCAAAGACTTACTTTCAACTGATGGGTTTTGTGCATTCAGTACTTGTGATGTAGAATTGTTAGATGATATGGAAGGGGATAATACATGTAAGAACCTTGACAAGGAAGCAGGATTGAGAGATTCTTCTAACCCAACAGGGCTTATACCTCATTGTACATATAAGCGGAGTAGATACATTTCTGAAACAAACAGCCCAGGACGACCAACATCTAGTGAAAATCTAGCATCAAATCCCAATCCATGTGCCCGATCGAGATCAACATCACTGAGCATTTCAGAAACAGCAGATGATTCTAACCAGTCCCAGAATGGTACAAACATACGGCTGTCCTATGATAATCCATCCCACAGTTATGAAAATGAACCAAATATAACTCTTAAAAATTTAAAACAGCGCATCATCCAGCAATTTTTAAAAATGGGGAAGAATAATTTGAAGGACTTGATAAATAATCCCAGATCCCGTAAGTTTGAATTTGCAATGAATCATCTTATGAAAGAGCATAGACTACTGTTGTCTAGGGAGCTACGGTCGTTGGCTCAGTCAAGAATTAGGGGTCAGGATGTAGAAAATCAGGGGCAGGGTGAGCCAGTATGTGAAACAAGTTCGTTGTTAGATACTGACACTGCAATCAACTTATCCCGCCTTCCTCAGGAAGTTATCGAGCAGCTTGGAAATCTCTTACAATTGGATCTTTTGGATAATGCAGAATCCATAGATTTTCAACCCATAACTCTTGATGGTGAGACCAGTGTTCATGATTTACAGAATATTCAAGCTCTACAGGTTGCTTTGCTCTCTGAAGAAAATATCAAGAGAGAAATTGTAGAAAGTGAAATGAAGCCACTGGTTGGAAGAGAAGCCAGCAGCACTGCAGTGGAGAAAATTGGAAGTGAAGGAAACTTGGTAGAAGGGCAGCATTCTCAACTGGATAGATCAGGGATGGATGTAGGAACAGGACACATTGAATATCCACTGAGACGAGAAATGGAAAGTAAAGAAGACCTAGTTCTGGAAGAAGGTGGAACAACTAAGAAATCTAGAAAGGAATCTGATAAGTGGCCAGATTACATACCACTGGGAAAAGGATTCATGAACAGAAGTGGTGAATTTGGAAACCTGCTTTGTGAATTTCCTGATTTCTTGCATATGGAATCAAGTGACTGTGAAGCTCTAGGTGGACATAATCATAATGTGACAGGTGTTCTGTTTACCCAAGAAACAAATAGAGAAGGAGCTGAACATCCTCAGGCAGAAGCTGATCAGACAACTGCTAGATCATCGAGCAAAGCAGTTAGTCCAAATTCAGCTTCTGAAGCAAATGAAATTGCTGATTGTAACTCTTCTTTGGTGGCAGGTGTGATACCCAGTAAAATTTCAAACAGTGAGATGTTTGAAAATTATGGTAAATCTTTGAATAATACATCAGCGGAGAAGTCCATTATAGAAAGATTTGCCACTGGCTGTTTGACCGGCACTGACGTAGGAGTGAAATCCTGTAGTGAAGACAACTGGACTGATACTGCCCAAGACAAGGGACCTGGTGGATCTTGCAATACACCTGATGACTATGGAACTAATTTCCCTGCATCAAATGTAGCAACTGCCAGTCAAGTTAAAGACACATTAAAAGGATCTGCAGGTGCTGGTGAACCATTAATAGGCAATGAAGAACCATCAGGAGCTTCTGTAATTGCTGATGGACATGTTGAAGGTTCTGCAGATTCTAGTATACTGGTGGTAGGTAATGAAGATCCATTAGAAGACTCTGCAGCTGCAGATAAACCCTCAGAAGGCTTTGGAGAACCTACAAATGCTTTGTTTAAAGATAATGATGTTAATAATGCGAATGTTTTATTAGGTGGGATTAATGAAGATGTGAATGTTGTGACTAATACTGCCCCAAATGAAAGTGAAATTAAAGACGGAAAATTTGAAGAAATGAAATCTGAAACTTCTGTGTTGCCTAAAGAAAATAATATTAGCAAAGAAGACCCTGTTATTGGTGAGAGACTAGGTGATCCATCTGAGAGAATGGACGGCAATTCTGTCCTTGTAGGGAACCATGTTGGAAATCTACAGACAGATTTGAATACTCTTGGCAGCAACAGGATCATAAATTCTGAAATTAATACAAATGAAGAAACTGGATATGGTGTTGAAAATAAAACATTCAACAAGGAAACAGTCCACAATTTTAGTACACATGAAAATCAGAATGGAAATATTGATAGTGATGTTGCTCCAGTATATGGCCCATCAAGCGACACAATGGACGCAGCCTTTGTGCTTGCTGGTAATGATACAGAAAATACAAATTGTGATGAGCACATCACACCAAACAAGAGAAGTAATCACTTTGCTATTGCAGAACATAGTATCAGCTCAAATGATACTGCAGAAGTATCTAGCAACAGGACATGTAATGAAACAGAAATATCTCCTTCCCAAGAAATCCAAGCAGAAGATATTAATGTTGATGAACTGTATGGTGATCTGAGCGAATTATCTATTGCAGAAGATGCAAATAATTCTGCTGTGGGTAGAACTGCAGTTAGTCATTCTGCTGATAATGTTGCGGAGGTTGTGACTACCAAACCAATCTCTGAGGAAGCCGTTGAAATGGATGAAAGTGGTTTAAGGATAATGAAGAGTGCAGTATCAGATGATGGCTACACAGGAAAGCATACTGTTGGAGCAAGTGTGCAGATTGAGCTCTGTAGTAGTGATATTGCAAACAGCCATGAAAAACGTGACGAAATTATGGAAATATATCATCATAATGTGGTGGTTAAGACTGAGAAAATTGATGAAACTGCCGATGATAGAACGTCAGTACTTGAAGAACAAGCGCAACCTGATGGGAGTAATCGTAAGTTCTGTTGTATTATATTTCCACTAAAACACATTTTTTAAGGGACCATTGTTCTATCAAGCCATGCTTGCTACCTACCTCATGCTGTTTTCTTGCTTGGCTTATTCTTTGACCCTGAAGACAGAAACGTTATGTCCCTCTGAAATGCCAGTTTATTTTCAACACTCACTCACTCACTCACTCATGGAGATGAGCCCTTCTTCACAAGCTGCCAATGTGCAGCTACTCAAGAACTTCCCAGCATTTTATGGAACCCAAAGGTTCATTACTGTGTTCACAAGAGCCCTCCACTGGTCCCTATCCTGAGCCAGATCAATCTGATCCAAACCATCCCATCCTATCTAAGATCCATCTTAATATTGTCCACCCACCTATTTCTTGGTCTTCCCAGTGAGCTCTTTCCTTCTGGCTTTCCCACCAGTATTGTATATGCAGTCCTCCCCCATTCATGCTGCATGTCCTGCCCATCTCATCGTCCTTGACTTGATCATCCTAATTATACTTTGTGAAGATTACAAGTTATGAAGCTCCTCATTATGCAGTTTTCCCCAACCTCCTGTCACTTCATCTCTCTTCGGTCCAGATATTCTTGTCAACACCCTGTTCTTGAACATCCTCAGTCTGTGTTCCTCCCTTAATGTTAGAGACCAAGTTTCACACCCATACAGAACCACAGGCAAAATTAATTTTCAACAGACTACATGTTGTTATATCCCAGATGATAGAATTCTTCGTGTTGTTATGTATTCCTGTGCTTAGTGAAGAAGGAAGAATCTTACACTCTGATAATTATTACTCAGTGTTTCATGTTCATAACAATGAACACAGCCAAAGGAAATAAATTGATCTTGTATTTTTGTAAGCTATACTAGTGTAAGAATTGTGAGATGGTCATAAGGGTCTTCTTTCTTTCTTTTGTTTGTTTGTTTGTTTCAGATATAGTCAGAGCTGCCCCAGAATTCCAAAGTATTGGTATCTTGTCCCATAATCAGCCTTCTTTCATTTCTAATCCAATAAACGAAGTGACTATAGTTGAAGTAAGCACACAGACACAGCCCCCTGATGAGCTTGATTCTGATGATGTTCAGAGAATGTTGCAACTTCTAGAGAAATCAAGTCAGCTCTCACCGCAATTAGCGAAATTACTGAAAGATCACTTTTCATCGAGGAAAATAACTGAAGAGAATGAATCATCAAAGTCGTCAAATAGTGTTCAGTTCTTTGACACTTCAAAAGAGGCTGTGTTATCTGCCCCAAAAGAAAAGTCTCCCTTGTGTTTAATTCAACCCCTTAGATCTGCAGGTTCTCAAATTTCACTTGCTTGTGTTTCTGAGATTCATAACATGGATTCAGCTGCTGAAACCACATTGCAACACACTTCAGGACTCTTACATTCCACGGATGGAATGGAGCGCAGTTTCAGAGGATCCTCAGTACTTGATAACAAAGAGAAGAAGAATACTACAAAGAGAATGAAACTGGCTAGGCCTGAAGAAACAAGCATAGAAGTAAACAGACTGCCAAGCAAGGAAGGTGAAGACACAGCTAGTGCTAGCAGTCATGCTGATGCAGCTGCTGCGATATCTGATGGCATGAACCCTCTGCACACGAGAGATGTTCAAGGAGGTTCGTTGGGTTCAAGCAGTAAATATGTATTTCTTAGAATGTTGGAAATAGACAAAGAAATCCAAAAATTAATGGAAGTTAAACTTGAATTGTATAGAAAACTGCAGCTGAGTTTAGAGGTTGAGTCTAGTTTTACCAATAGAAATAACAGTCATTCACCTAAATCAAGAGGGTTGCAGTACGCAAATCCAACCACAGTGGTATCACCTCATACTCTTTGTAACAGAATAGCTTTAAGCAATAATTCGAACACACAGCAAATGCATATGGGTTTTGTAACCATGAATAACGAGCTAACAGGGAATTCATTTACAAGTGATCGACCCACATCTACTTCAACACCCATGGTAATGTTGCCAATAGATTATGTTTTAGGCTCCTCGTGTGAGCTGCAAAATGCACATGTGTCATTGCCAAGGCATAAGTTGAATGAGTGTCTGAAAACTTTTGACACTTCTGTTGTGGAGGCTGTGCTGAATAGTTTTAATTTGCCAGATGGTCAGAACAGAGAAGATTCTGCTGTGATTCATTCTTCAGATCACAAGCAAAATAAGATTTCAAGTGATGGTAATGAATCAAAATCATATCAAGTGGAGAGTAGCAGTACTAACAAGGGCAGAAGATATGTGGCTCATCGTTCCACTGCTTCACACAGGGAATCTCATCAGTCTGAAGGGAAATCCTTATCTGAAAAAACTGGAGGTCAAAAGAAACTAGCTTCAAAACCAAAACCTGGATTGAACAAGGAGCACCATTCTAGTGTTTCAAAGAAACACCCACATGTACAGCATAAAACTCGAATTGCAAAAAAAAATAGACTTGGTAATCGAGAGAAAAGCTGGATTGAAAGTAATTCTGATGCCATTTTAAGGAAAACTGTTCATTCTGATTCATTAAAAGAAACCGCAGTGAAGGAGCTGCGAAGCAGGAGACAGACAGAAATTTTTGAAAATAGAAACCAACAGAATGAAGGAAGGAAGAGTAAATTTACAAAACAGAAAGTAGGAAACATGAAACATGATAAGGAATCTTCACAGTCTGATAGCAGTGTGGTAGAAGACAGAAAAGAGACACATTCATCAAATAAAACTGAAGTTTCAACAAAGAACAGTAAACAGTCTGAAAGAGATAGCTTGTCTTCAAGTAACAGGCCAAAAAGACGTTCTCCAAGAGAATCAGATACTAAGAAATCCAGTGAACAGGATTTTTCTCATACAAGTAATTCCAGTCCTAGAGGCAGAAGGGACACAAAGACAAGGTCTCTTGGGGATGTGGAACTTCTGCTTGAAGATCCTGTAGAAACAATAAGTAGGAAGAAAGAAACGCTCTCATCCACAGGAGGATATTCCACAAGTTTTGAGGAATCAGAGGCATCTGATTGTATAAGTAGAGTTACCCGTAAAAGGAAACTTACAGTAAAAACAGAAATTAATGATAATGAGTACGTTACAAGTTCTCAAGAAGAATCAGGCAAACCTTCCACAGAAAGCATGAGTAGAAGATCATTTTCTAGAGTTGCATCTGCCTTTCAGGCCATGCAGCCAACTGTCCTTGATGAAAATGTGACCAAAATGGTCAGAAAAAGGAGGAGGGCAGTGAAAATAGAACAGACGGATGCAATTGATGGAAGCACTTCGCCTGTTAGGAAACTGAAGAAAACAACACTTTCTAACTCTGGACAACTTCAGAGGAGTAACAACACCAAAATTCCATCATCCCCTGATATTGTTGGTGCCCAGAAGAGGAAACCAAGTGAAACAGAAAGTCAGCCTAGTAAGGTTCACCATCATAATCCAAAAATGGACCTATTGCAATGGAATTTACAAGATTGTTTTGTTGTAGTGAAACCACTAGCTATAGAAGAAATGGATGAATCTGTTAAGCCATGTGAAAAACTTGCTGCTACAAACAATTTAGGTAATCAGAGAATTCGAAGGTCTTCATGTTCTTCAGATGAACTTTCTGTGACACAGTTTGTGAAAAAGAATAAGAGTGAAGTTTACTTAGCAGGACAGGATGTAAAACAAAAATTGGATAATGTAGGTGATTGTTACAGAATCACCTTTCCTGAATTAGCAGATGAACAGCTTAATCAAAGAGAGGGCTCTAATTACCAGCTGGATCCTCTTGGAGATACTGTTATCTTTCCTGAATCAGCAGATGAACAGCTTAATCAAACAGAAGGCTCCAGTAACCAACAGGATCCTCTTGGAGATGTTTCAGATTCTTCAAGTTGCCAGGGACAGCCACCCAAGCTGCATATTGAACCATATGGAAACATTACTTCAAGTCCCATGCAGTTACCTCCTGATCTGCTTATGCAGTCAGATTCACCAGGATGGTCACAAGGCCAGTGCTTCCTTTCTGAGGTAGCCATACAAGATGAAAACAGTATCTCTACCCTTGTGTCAGACACATTGTCTGTTACAAGTGATGGGGAGCAGCCTCTTGTGAAAAAGATAAGAAATGATGAAAAAAATGAAACGCAGTTGGTTACACACAGTGCAGATGGCAAAGATGATTGTGACCAGGATTCAGCCTATTCTTATGATATGGCTCAGGAGGGTAGAGAAGGAACAAACAGTAGAGCAACAAAGCACAAGTCCTCCAAAAAACACCGAAAGGATCGGAAGTCAGATGGCATAGAACGTTTGATATTTGAATCCCATAAAGGGCCCATCTTAGATATTAAAGTAAGTTAAAAATAAAATTTTAAGATATATAGGTGTTTTAAGTATGAAATCTGAAAATGTAATTTTTACAAATACAGCAAAATCACCTACAGCCTCTTGTTAATGATGATTTGTTTTAGAAAGAGATAGGTCATAAAATTCTATCTTTGCACTCTGAATCTTGTCTGAAGTTATGTTATATTCCAGGCATGGCTGTGAAACTATCTGTAGTTATCCCATTTGAAAATGAAGGAATTAGTAAGCCCTTTAACCAGTTTTGGCTATATAAATCATTGGTGAGCAAACTTCATAGTATGCAGACCATATTGTGGAATGCAAACACTTCTTAGGATTGAGGCTGTTTTACCTGTTATTGTACAGGATCTTAATGTCATTATGTTTGTGGAGTACTGCATTAAGGTCATGAAATGAATGAAAACTCCCGGACTAGGTCAAAAAATAAATGCTGGCTTAACTTACTCAATTTTGGCTGCCATCTCCTTCAAAATAGTCTCCTTGGGAACGTGTACAGCGATCCCATAGTTTTTTCCAAGCTACAAAAGCACTGTGGAAGCCATTTTCCCTAATGCTGTCAAGTATCACTTGTGATTCCCTTCAGATATCGGACACTTTCAAAACATCCCTTGAGTTTCATTTTCAGTTTGGGAAACAATGAAATTATGGGGCTAAGTCTGCTGAGTAGGGAGGATGTGGAGTTCAACATAGTGTTAGGAGGAACAAATTCATGGTGGACAATCCCCTTCATGTCAAAAAAGAAAGAATGAGCATGTTCCTTGTTGTTAAACTCCGGGACCTGCTGCACCTTTTTTGCTCTTTGCGATTGTGGCCTCATCCACTGTGACATTTGTTGCTTTGTTTCTGGATCATAACTGTAAATCCATCTTCACCCATTATGATTCTAGAGATAAAAGTTGGGTCCTAATAAACCTTCTCCCATAGCTCAAGACATATATTTACATGCCACTACTCTTGTNACCGGTTAATCCGCCCCCGGATAATCGAGAGTTGACTGTATTTACATGCCACTACTCTTGTTTGTCTGTCAAGAGTCAAGGGAACAAACTTTGTGGCAGTGTGACTCGTGTTTGCATTATCTGATAAGATCTGGAAGGTTCCATAACTGATCCCATCACTGTCTGTGAGCTTGTCGATTGTTCAGTGACAGTCTTTATGGATTAGTTCTGAAATTTTTTCAACATTTTCTGTCATTTTGCTGGTGCTTCATCACCCTGAACAGTCATCATCTTCAGCTAATACTTGACTGGCCTTGAAATGTGAATGCCATTCAAAAATCACTGTCTGGCTTAAAGAATGTTCTCCAAAAGCCTCACAAAGCATTTCAAGGATTTCGGTAGTGGAGTTACTGAGCTTCACGCAAAACTTGATGCAAACATGTTCTTTGATTTTGCCATCCATCACAGACAAAATAAAACACGATGTCGAAAAAAGCAATGTGTATTCACAACGCAGTATCACATGGCAGAGTGATGCAGTAGGCTTGCAGATGTGTGACCTTGGCCTCCCCACTCATCTTCTTTTGCTGAGCAGTTACAAGAATAACAGTCTGTGATAGCACCACATATGCTTTTCCTTTTGAGTGTCTAGCATATATGAGAGAGAGTCATTGAATAGTTCACATGTGTACAAAACTAAAATATGTGATATCCAAATGTGGAAGAAATGTTTGTTTCTTGACATACCCTTAGCCAGCATAGATACACAAGTCCCATATTTTTACCATTGTGTCGAAACCTGCAGCACAGAAGTTGTCTCAGTCACTTGCACATCTTTGTCATCAACAAAACATTTGCCACTGCCACCAAGATGGTTTTTTAGCAGACCAAATAGTTGGAAGTCACTAGGGGAAATGTCTGGGCTGAAGTTCTCACTCTAGTTCTTTAATTCTGTCCCCATTTGCTTGAGCTATTTGGGGTTTGGCACTGTCATGATGAAGCAGTACCACTCTTGCTAATTGGCCTGAACATTTCTGCAAAATGCACCCCAAAGCTTCAACAGAACAGTATGATGCAGAATTCACATTTTCACTATGCTTCTGAAAATGGGCTAACAGTACTCCCTCAGAATCCCAAAACATGGCAATCATAACTTTCCCACCTGATGCCTTACTTGTAACCTTAAACTTTTTGGTTGAAGGTGAACTGGGATGTTTCCATTGCATTGAAGTACACTTTGATTTGGGTTTGTAGTGATGCATCCACGATTAATCCCCAATAACAATCCTGTTAAGCATATCTTCTCCTTCATCTGCATACTGTAAGGGATGTTGTGAGGACAGACCCATTCGGTTCAGTTTTTCACAGTCCTTCAATTCTCTGGGCACCCACCATGCACACTTTCTGAAACTTTGAACAATTCTGCATTATATTTTATGCTGAACCATGGGAACACCACAGTGCAGTAGCTACACTGTCTGTTGTTATCCTCCTATCAGCTTGCATTAGCTCTTTCACCCACTGAACAGCTGCTGTTGTTGCTGTCTTCAGCAGGGCGACTTCATTGGGCATCTGCGACTTTCGAACACCTTGAGTGAATTTCTCAACCTAGTTGTGAATATCTTTATGTGATAGATACTTCGCACTGTAAACAGTAATCATATCTTTATGGATATCCTTGCATTAAGTCCTTTTGCTCACAAAAAAAACGCACAACAGAACGCTGCTTATCAGTAGGACATGTCTCAAGCATAGTCACCACCTTTGCTACTGAAATGAGCCTTTGAACATGTGCATGCATGTGTGCTAGCTGGACTATGCTGGCATCTAGTGGTACACATAGAAAACCCATTGCAGCTGTTTCAATTCCGTTTATGACCTATTTACTGACACACTCTTATTCCTCTCATCTTCCTTCCCCACTTCCACCGCTTGTCACTTGTATTCTTGCTGTCATTGTTCTCGGTATGTTATTGGTATTAATGGACGACAGGTGTCCTGGAGAAGGCAACCTACTTAAAACCCCGTCTACTCATGTTTATTTCCTCGCTGACCATAGGCCGGGATTACTCAGGACCACATGCCATTGTTTCCTCACTCCCGGTGAGACCATAATGTTTTCTGGTGAAAAAGATAGACCATCCCTTTCTCTTTTTATTGCTTTATGGCTGTAGAAGAGTACTGTATGATAGCCACTGTCAAGTAATTCTTCCCACATTTATTAACATTACAAATGCTTATAGACTGTAGGCAGGCATGTGCTGGCTGCATCTGAGGATGGAAATGTGTACTGCTACTCTCTGAAGAGTGGAAAGTTCAAGAGGAAATATGAAGGCCATCATGCTGCTGTCACCTGTTTATGTGTTATTGAATGTGGCGGCAGTGCGGGCACTGAGTTGGGAGGTGCGGATGCAGAACAGATGGCACCTGACTTTTTTTTTACTGGCTCTCTGGATAAGCATCTCCGGAATTTTAGATTCAAGGTGTGTGACATATTTATATCACAATAGCATACGTTTACATTTCCACTGTAGTTAGTTTACTTGGGACAATGCCTTCATCATTCTTCTCCTTTCTTCTGTAAGCTCTCCTCTCATACATTACTCATGTTCCGTGCTCTTTTTTGTTTATCTTCTCTCATTTGATCTTCCCACCTAGTTCTTGATCTTTCCAGTGCTTGTTTGTACGCTGTATTCATTTACAGTGCCCCCAGAGACATCCTGTTGCCATCAATGTGTGATGCAAGTCCATATCATTGAGTCCATGTTTTCACATTTTTTTTTTCTTTCTGGTAGTTTTACCTTCAACTCTTGAGTAATGTCTTGCTTTTGGATTTTATCCCTTATAGCATTTGAGGTCTCACAGTGGTAGTTATGAAGATTTCTATAGTCTGGAATATAATACCATTTAGTCTGTTGGAAGTCAAGCTACGTGCTTCATGCTGGTTTCTTGCTTGGCTTATTTTTCAGCTGTAACAATAAAGGCCATGTGTTACCCTGAAAGGTTGGTTTAAGTTCAGTAGACTCCACGGCATTATATCCCAGAAGACTGAATTCTCTGTCCCGTCTTGTTGATGGTTGTGAACAGAACAGAAACGTGTGAGATCTGAGGTTCTCATGGCTGTCACTATGAATATTATTGTTTTTTGGGATGTGATACCACGAAGTCTGGCACATAGTTACCAGTGTTCAGAGGACCCTGCTGCTTCCAGGTTTGGCAGGAGGCAGCAGCTTCCTCTGAAACATGGATAACTATCTACCAGAGTACATGATGTCACATCCCAGTAGATGGTAATCTTCATAGTGAAGACAGTACAATTTAAGACATGATTTTCCTTCCACTTTAATGCCTTCATGTCAAATTACTAATTACTACAGATAGGATAACAGGTGAAGATGTTCATGTTCTTTTATTGGTTATACATGTACTGGTCATGGATTGAACCCTAACATGAGTAATGTTGAGCACAGTGTTCGCCATATTTGATTTGTTATTCAGCTGTGTGGGGATTACAAGTATAGATTTAAACATTTTGATTTCCTGGTAAAAAGCATCATACATTCCATTCCATCCACCAAACCAGCTGACTACCATTTTATTTTATGCTGCAATGTTATATCTACCATAAGTCTTCATGTCATAGTGCTTAACTAATTAAGCACAGGGACTTTGCAACTACTTACTTATCCTCTTATTGAATTGTGTGTAGTGGCATATTTGCTCAAGGCAAGAACTGTGAACCCAGCAGAGACAACTGTTGCTGAGTAATGGCTTTGCAGAAAAGCATGTTTCCATGGCAGCAATTTGATACAACGATAATGGGTAGCAGTGTTTTCTATGTGGTCTGTGGATAGATGTTGTAAGCAGGACAAGTCTAAATTCAACTTCCCACCTCAAACTAACTTGACTTTTCAGCTCCTCTCGACTTCCCTGACTCCCAATTGAACTGAGTCTGGTAAGAGCCAGGGAACTCAAGAGGAGATGAGAGTCAAGTCAGTTGGAGGAGGGAAGTTGAAGAGTCGGTTACGAGTCTAGAGTGCATAGATTAAAAAAATAAATTATAGTTTTATAGCAGTTGTTATTATGAATCATTGGCACTGCACCAAAATACAACTTATCGCGCAGAAGGCGTCAAGTAGCTGGGAGCCTAAAGCTTGTTGTTTTTAAGAGAGATTACTCTTGATACACTAATGCGATGTGAGACGCTGGTAGTCCTACTCACCTTGTTCGATGAGAGAGATGAAAAATTAATAGCGGACCATTTAGATGGGAAGAAGGAAATGGATCTAGTGCAAGCTTCTATAGTTCAAATAGAGCAGATTGTTCAAAATTCGCTCTAAGCGAATGCAAATGGTGCCAAGTGGAAGCATCTGGTGAACAGAGCTGCAGCCGACAGGCACACCCTCTGCAAGTTTATGGATGAACAGATGCTATTTACCAGTGTATTTCACATGTATGCAGCAACATACATACACAGTGCTACAGTTACCAGCATTACGGCCACATCTGGGTGCACTGCAGGCAGCCATCTCACTGCCTCATGTGGGGTTGGACATTGCCATCGTGAGTGCCCAGTGAAACGGAACTTAGAGTGTCCCAACCTGCTGCAGTTGATCGTCACACCCAGCAAGTTACAGAGACTGCAGTCATGCAAAACAGGAATTATAATAGCTTATAAAGAATCTGTGGGTGACAACACAGGGATCAGCGAGGAAGATGTTCTCCTCAAAATACACAACACCTGATCGATCATTTGTCACTGCTCTTTGCAAATCTGATCTGCAGCATTGGCAGCAACCATCACAACAAAAACAGTAACGATCTTCAGGAAAAATCAGTATGCATCAGAACACCAATCAGACCTCAGGTTAGTCAGTGCAGGCTAAAAATGTAAATATTAGTGCAACAGACGTGTTCCTTGCTTTCACTGCAGTGCAGCAGATTGTGACAGAGGTCTGTGGTGTTGTGACAGAAAAAGAGAAGGTTGTCATAATTAAGCTGTGATTAGACTGTTGAAGAACAATGCTAGCAACAGTTCATAGACCCTTGAACTCATACCATTCAATGCTAATAGTATTGAGAGGCAGGCCTACGAGGTCAGAAAACATTTGCGAAACATCAAAATAGACATGGACCTGTTCTCAGAGACACGCCTGAAATCTCATATGAGGTTCTGCATTCCATAGTATTATATTTATTGGACTGATCTTGACAGTGGGCACAAAAATGAAAGTGCCTTAGCAGTTAAGAAGGGCATCACTCAGACATGCACAGACCCACTTGCTCTCCTTCCAGTGGAAACAGCAAGGGTCTGCATGCCAATTGGAAACACTGAAATGTTGCTTGCAGCTGTCTGTAAATCTCCGCAACAACTCTGGGGTAATACAGCCATCACAGAGCTATTGGGTTTTATAAATAAGTCCATCCTGTTAGGTGACCTGAATGCAAAGCACCCTGTCTGGAATAGTAAAGGTTCAAACCCCTCTGGCTTGAAGCTCTTGGAGCCATTATTAGTTCTGAATTCAAAATTTGAGGTCCACAGTGTTCTGTGCATTACACACATGATGGTAGAGGTGATGTTCTCGACATCATAGCACATCAGAACATCAGACTGTCAGAGGTTATTGTCACTGACATTCTGGGCCCTCTTAGGATGAGGGAAGTTTCAGATTTGGTTCAAAAACTGACAAGACTGGGAGCTGTTTCAAAGCCTTGCCTCTGAGCTTGTATCTCCAATTATCCAAATTCACTCTTCTAATGAATCTGATAAAGCATCATGTGACTTCGCAATTTGAAAATTATGCTAATAAAACTGGGATCCAGCATTCAAAACGGCAGTAAGCTGGGTCACCTGGAAAGAGCACTTGAAAGTGACACCTTAAGCAGTATGGCCTGTCTTGAAATCCCTTTCAAAAAGGATTGGACTAAAGGCACCATCTGTAGTTCATGGTCTCTTAGGCCACATATTTTTTCCAATCAATAAAACCAACATAACTGTAGACTGCTTAGAAAATCAATTCAGAGCTCATGACTTTGTGTGACTGTGACTGTAGACGACACGTGGAGGCTCAAGTCGAAGCTATGCTTCTATGTATGAGGGGCAGGCCTTCTCGGCCCTTGCACTGCAACCTACAATGGTCTATTGCGCTTGAAGCTATGCTTACTGCTGACGAGGACATCCTTGTTGGTTTTCAACCCTGAGAAATCTCAGAAAGAAAAATACAAATCTTGAAATTAAGAAAGGCGTGTGCTTTTGATGGCACTCCAAATGAATGTCTCTGGCATCTTCCAAGAAGACCCCTTGTGCATTTAACACATTTATTCAATCACTGTCTTCAGCTTCGTCATTTCCCAGCACCTTGGAAGGAAGCAAAATTCATACCTGCTAAAACCAGCCAAAGACACAAAATTTACATCTAATCAGCCTCCAAAAACACTGAGAAAAGAAACTTACCAAATGCAAGTCAATTTGGCTTTTAAGCAGATTACAGTACAACACTTCAACGTATGAGGCTGGTGGATCATGTCATCCTGAATTTCAACAATAATACGTGGTGTGTTCAAAAAGTATCGAACCTTCTTTTTTCCCGCATAAACCAGTGAAGTGAGGGAGGCTCCCTTCGGTGGAGATGTGGAGGTGACATTCATGCGTAGTCGTTAATTTTTTCCTGCCCGCAGAAAGTGTCAGTCACAGGCAGTCGGCCTATGAGTGAGGACGTGTAGTGAGCACTCGTCGGATTCCAGTAAGGTGTAAAATGACAGAACAACATGAGCAGCGATATTGCATCAAATTTTGCCAGAAGCTTGGTGATACCCAATTGGAAACCATTCGCAAGATTCAACAGGCTTTTGGGGACGATGCCATGAGCAACTCGCGGATAAAGGAGTGGTACAACTGCTTCAAAGATGGCCGCACATCAGTGGACAGCGAACCGCGTTCAGGCAGACCCTCAACAAGCTGAAATGAGAATGTCATTGAACAAGTGTGGACTTTGGTCATGGAGGACTGTCGTATCACAGTCTGAGAACATGCAAACGAGATAGGGGTAAGCATTGGATCAGTACATTCAATTTTGACCGAGGATTTGGGCATGAGGAGAGTGTCCGCGAAATTCGTACCGAAACTGCTAACAATGGAGCAGAAGCAACGCCGTCTGGAAATCGCACAGGACATGCTGGACAATGCAAACAGTAACCCCAACTTTCTGAACACCGTGATCACAGGTGATGAGTCGTGGGTTTATGGGTACAACCCAGAAACCAAGATGCAGTCATCACAGTGGAAACATCTGACTTCCCTGAGGCCAAAAAAAGGACAGCAGGTCCGCAGCAATGTCAAGGTCATGTTGGCCATTTTCTTCGACTCTCGTGGGGTTGTGCATCATGAGTACACACCACAAGGCCAAACCATCACAAAGGAATACTACCAGGAGGTTCTTCGTCGCCTTTGTGATGCTGTGTAGTGCAAACGACCGGATCTGTG